TAATTTAAATTAGTTTTTGTTACTTTAAAAGATGAAGTTTTAGTATGAAAAGTTAAAGATATTAATAACGAAAAAGAAAGAAAAGAAGAGGTTATAGTAAAAATTAAGTAAATGCTTTATGAATATATACAAATAAAAGTAAAGTTAATTGCTATAATTATGAATAGTATTGCAGCTTATACTGCTACTTAGTAATTAGCAATTAATAAAAGATTTTAATACATTTTTATAATTAATATATATTTTAATAATAAATTTTTTTAGTCATTATTTTTATCTAATATATTGTGAAATTACAGTCAACTCTTTTTACAATGAATTTTGATATAACGAATTTTATAATACAACAGATTTTCAGTGTCAGACAGATTTTTAAATATAAAAAAACCCTTATTATATTGAATTTAATAATTAAAAATTCATACTATATTTAACAAATTAAAGTCAGAAAAATTTATATATAAAATGACTCTCTTTATAACGAATTTTCTTTATAATGAATTTTTTTTTGATACAACGAAGTTTTACTTAAAATGAATTTTACTAGATTTATGTATATAAAATTTTGTAATTCTTTGTTCCTAGTTTTTAAATAAAATTAAAAAATGAATAAATATTCATGTTATACATTGTGTTTTATGTTTTTTTTTTTTACATATTTTATTTTTTACATGTTTTTTTCTTTGCATAATGCCAATAATGCCAAAAGTAAACTCAAAGAAACAACTTAATTAATCTACTAACAAATAAAATGAACCTTTAAAAAAAATGAAAGTCTCTTACAGCTGCACAAAAAAAAGAACTTTATTTGAAAAAAATATTATCACCTTTTTTAAAACAAAAAGACTTGGCTAATGAATATGACATTAGTAAAGGCATGGTAAGTGACATTTTAAAGGAGAAAGACTATTAGCTTTCTGTGAATACCAATTTATACCAAGCTAATTTGAAACGTGATAAGAAAACTCCATTTCCTCTCATTAAAGAAGCGTTAGTAATATGGGTAGATAATGCACTCAAAGCTAGTTTCATTATTATTGACGATATTCTTTTAACAAAAGCCTTGATTTTTGCTTTTTTATTAAAGGAGGATAAGTTTAAAGGGTCTAGTGGTTAGGTGGATAACTTTAAAAAATAACACAATCTTAAACAGTACGTTATACATAGGAAAGTCGCAAGTGCGCTGCTTGAAGATCTTAAAACAATGAGAGATAATCTCTGGCAAATATTAAAAGAATATAATTCTGAAGATATATTCAATTATGACAAAACAGGACCGTTTTGGAAGATGAAACTATGTCAAACAATATTCAATGAACAAATATCAGGAAAAAAATAATCAAAGGATCGTGTAATGATCTTACTTATATACAACGCAATGGGAAGTGAAAAACTGATGTTTTTATTCATACACAAGTATGAAAATCCTAAGATTATTAAAATATTGATAAAAAAATGCTTCTGGTTGAATACTATTGGAACCAAAAAAGTTGGATGCAAGTTTTAATCTAAAATGATTATATAAAAAAACTCAATACAAAAATGAGAAAACAAAATCAGAAAATTATCCTTCTTGTGAATAATGCTCTGATATACGCTCTTTATGAAACCATTTGCCTGATCAATATTACCATTCAATCCCTTCCCCTTAAATACCACTGCACACTTCTAATCTTGTGATCAAGATATCATAAATAGTTTTAAGGTGAGAAATGTAATTGATTTAATAATTCTTTAGTTAAAATATAATTGACATTATTTATACTTAATTCTAATTCAACTTATTTTAGACACAATATCAAAAGCTTTATTTACAAAATCAGATTAAAGCTTTTGATAAATTTAATGAATACCGTATTGAACCCTCTGAAATTAATATTAAAAAGTGTATAAAATATGTTACTTAAGCATGAGATAATGTTACAAATAAAATAATTGAAAATTATTAGGTGAAAGCAGATATTTTACCTAAAGATAACCATGAAAATAAGGATGAAACTGGTAACAATATATTACTTAAACTTAAACGGTTAAAGGAGATAGAAGAAGTTCAAGTATTAATTGATAAACTAGATTTTGACAATTCTTTTTCCGCTGAAGAATTTGTCAGGTATGATAAGTTTAAGATTATAGATAAAATGGTATCTGATAAAGAAATTTTAAAAGCTGTTTTATCTGATCAAGAAGATGAAAGAGAGGAAGATTCTTTATCACTAATAATTACTTCTGAAGAAGTTATTGAGGCTTATGATAAAGTAATTTTATATTTGGAGTAGTAAGAAAAATCTTTTGACATGACTGTCACTACAAAATATATACCTATTCATAAAACTAAAGCTAATAGTATTTCTAAATAATTAACCAGTCTTTTAAAAACTTGATATAATATTAAAATTTTATATCATTTTTTTAAGTATCTAAGAAATATCTTAGCATTTTATAATAAATTTTAAATAGCTCATTTTATATCATTAATTTCTTAAAATAGTATACTTATCCAGACTGAATGTAATTTCTCTTAATATGCTACCTCTTATTATTTTTATTAACTTTATTTTTATAGATAGATATTATAGAGTTAAAAATTTATAGAACTAATATCACATAATATTACAAGGAAAATTAAAGAAACATTTGACTAAATAAAAGATTAATAGATAAATATTTAACTGAAAAACTAAGATATAGAATATGGGTAAATTACTTGCTGAAAAAAAGAATAAATTACTTACCAAAGAAAAAGGATAAATTACTTGCTAAAAGAATTAGAAATTACAGAAATAGGAATTAGAAATTATAGAATAGGATTAGAAAATGAGATTAAGATTTATATAAATGATCTACATTAATTTTTATATAAATAGAATAAAATTTTTCATGTAAAAAGATTGGATTAGAGGAGTGTAAGATCAGTTTTCTTTAAAATGTAGTTTTTAGATGAGATTTTTGTTTTTTCTTGTGATTTGTTTTTATTTTCTTTTTTTAATTTATCTATAAATATATAAATATTTACTTTATTATAATAAAGATTTAGCAAAACTACTGCACTTTAAAAAAAAAAAAAATGTAAAAAGATCAATATGTAACCCTATATCTTAATAATGAATTAATAAAAGTTATTATGCATAATTTAGTACTTAGAAAAGAATAATAGGTTTGTTCTAATTCTTAGTAAATTTATTAAATTATAAATAATAAAATTTGAATATTATAAAATAAATAGAGAACATTTTTTAATAATATATTTATACTATAATTACAGTATTGAAAAATTCTTTGATATGTTAAAATCAATCATCCTATTATAATATAAAAATACAAACTTATTGATAAAACTGAAAACAAAGAAAACTCTAACAAAATTAAAAGGATTCTAAGAAATTAATGCATTATGGGAATTCTGATTACAAGAAAATAATTAAACAGAAGATCAGATAATGTGAAAAGTTAATAGAAGAAAATATTAATGATTAAGAGAATAGGAAAATTGGAAAATAGAATCAAATAAATAAATGAAAATTATGAATGATAATAGAAAGTTATGCGTTATTATTAATTAGAAAGGAACATGAAAATAAAAAAGAAAGAAAAGTTGAAGATTTAGATTTTATTAATAGCAATAAAATAATCAAACAGAAAGTCTAATAATAAGAAATTAATAGAAGAAAGAAGACAAAATAAAAATAATAAAAATAAATTGTAAGAAATTAGAGAAAGATAAAAAGGAAGAATCAGACAAATTGGAATAAACGAAATAAATAAAAATTGATTTTTAAACAAATAAAATAATTTGTAAAACAAATTCTCTTGAAGATGAGTGGTAGAAATAGTTTAGAAAGATACAGCTCTTGTTGAAGTTATCAAACTCATAAAATGTCATATATTTGTAAATTACGAATTTTAACACTTATAACATAAAACTTCTCTTTTCAGGTCTCAATATGAAAATAAAGTTCTATGAATATAATTTTAAATTTTAAAAGTATTTAAGAAGTTCTTAATAATAGGATTAATAATTTTAAATATAAATTCTTATGTATGATCAACTTAGTTTTAAATTGAAAATACAAAGTAATCATTTGAACAGATGCATAGATAATTTAATTTTTCTTAAGACTTGTTAACAGATGAATTAGATGTTAAAAAAATCACTAAAAATTTTTAATAAGTAGCTAAATAAACTTACTGTGACAAATAAATTTTAGAGAATTAGATTTCTACATATTACTTAATCATTGATATTGACCTTCACATTTATAATTCTTTAACCTCCTATTTCACAACTGATAAATGATATTGAATTATTGATCATTTTCTAAATAGCAAGCTTATAACCCTCTAAAATATTAAATTAAATATTGAAATATTTTGAATTAATAGCATAGAAGTATCTATGATATATAATTTGCAGATATTTACAGATTTCCTCTATTCCCAATTATTAGAATTTGGCTTATCTTTATCCAATCTTTAAACTGAAACTATGAAAGTATAATTTTAATAATACCATACCTATTATATTGCTAAAATGTCTCAGAAAAGTCTTCATCAAATTGCTAAATACTAGATTAGTAGAGATCTTTATATGTTATAACATTTTAAAGGTATATAATTTGCCAAACTTTTATTTAAATCTATATTTGATTCTATTCACATTTTGGATAAAATTAAACAAGATGTCTTATTTAATTAAAGATCTTAAAAAATCATAAAACTATCAGTGGCAAATTTAGACATAAATGGAAATATGAATTTTTATAAAGAGGGTGATAAACATTAAACTTAAATGCAGAATTTTTTTGATGATAAAATTGATGTCATAATGCCGGCCAAAAGTCATGTGGGATGAAAATAGTGTTTGATACTTGAGTAAATTTATTTTTCTGTGCTATTTTTTTTTTTTTTTTTTTTTTTTTTTAAAAAAAAAAAAAAGTTTATCATATGATCATTTTGTAATACCGATTTAAGGGATCGAGAGTAAATTCTGTTACAACAATATTATGACTGACAGACTTGTAATCGGTCTTGATAAATTAAATAATAAATTGAAAATTTTATTAGAAGAAAATAAGAGAATTAGGCAGCAACATGAAAGTCTTCAAGAAGAAAACAGAGAAACCCTACGTATTAATTCGGAATTAAAAGAAACTCTTCAAGAAAATGATCAACGATTTGAAGAATTTCAACGAAATTTAGAAAAGCAAAGATTAGAGGAAAGTAAAAGGTTTGAACGGCAACATACGAAACTTCAAGAAGAAAATCGAGAAACCTTAAGTATTAATTCCGAATTAAAAGTAAAGCTTCAAGAAAGAGATGAGCAATTAGAAAAGCTTCAACAACAAGTTTTAAATTTTGAAAAACAAAAAATTGAAATCCAAGTAATTTCTCAAAATATAGAAAAAACTCTAGAAATGCTAGAATTAGACGAAATTGATGAGAATAATAAATTTCTTAAGGAAAAAAATAAACCTTTAATTAGTGAAAGCAGTGAACAAAAAAATAGTATCAACTATGAAACAACTGACTTTCCTTTAAGTGATAATTATAGTTTTCAACTCTCCGAAAATGTTGAAAATTCGTGGAGCTTTTTTGATAATGGTATGTAAGTGTGCAGATGTATAGGTATTGATGGAGTAAGCTTTAAATTGATTAATTAGCTAGACTAAAATTTTTACATTTGTAAGGTTGTATTAAAGTCGTGGTTGGATTAGACTTTGGAATAACTTACTCTGGATTTGCTTATTGCCATATTAGTGATTCACACATAATTTCAAATTATGATTGGCCTGGTTCTTTTGGCGAACCAAAAACCAATACAGTTCTTCAATATGATGATGAATATATTAATGTAATGTCGTGGGGTGCTCCAGCTTTATTTAAAAGATTACCTTTTAAAAAGAAAATAGGTAAAGATAATGAAACGAAACCGGTTGAATTATTTAAATTACATTTAAGCAATTTACCGGACGAGCTTAAACCGAAACTTCCGGTTAGATATGAAAAGGCTATTACTGATTATCTTAGAGAAATCGGAAAGGTATGATCAAATTCTCAAAATTCTTTTTAATAAATATATTAATTATTTACTTGAAATTTTTAAGGTGATTAAGGAGACGATTGCAAGTCATTGGATAGGCATAGACATCCTTCATCAAGTGTTGTTAGTTCTTACGTATCCAGCTGATTATTCGGATAAATCAAAAGCGATTATGCGAGAATGTGCATTTAATGCAGGGTTGGTTAGGGATAAAGATTCAATGGCATTGCAATGCATTACAGAATGTGAGAACATTCACTATTTATGATTTGATATTTTTTTTTATTTCTAATTTAATGGTGTTCATTACTAGCTGAAGCTGCCGCAATATATTGTATTTTTGGAGAACACGATCTGAAAAAACTAGGAAGTACGTATAAAATAACTCAGATTTTCTAATTTATTATAATTAATTTACAAATCTAAAACCATCAAAATTAATTACAGCCACTTTTATGGTCGTTGATTGTGGTGACACAGTAAATTTGACTACTTGTAAATTAATAAGCGAAACACGAGTGGATGTAGTTACTGAAAGATCTGAAAGTATTGTTATTGATGATGAATTTGTTAAATGCTTGCGTAAAATATTGGGTGATCGACCCATTGATTTATTAAGAGAAAATTATAATGGACAGATGCAATATTTGATTAAAGATTTTTCTCGACGGTATAAATATTCTTTTACGGGAGAAGATGACTTTGATGCTTATAAATTGGATCTTGAAGATGTTGCTCCTGCAATAATGCAATATATTATTGATAATAATATTAGAAAATGGTTGGAAGAAGCGGAATGGGTAGTTAAATTTAAAATAAGATCGATTTTTGACCCTTTTATCGAAAATGTTATACAGTTGATTCATACAGAGCTCGATAGTTCTCGTGAAAAATGTTCATCAATGTTTTTAATTGGAAGTTTTAGTGAATCAAAATATTTACAAAACAGTATAAAAAAAGAATTTCAACATAGAATAAATATTTCAATTCCTACTCAACCTACTGTTGCAGTTGCGCACGGAGCCGTAAAGTATGGATTAAATTTACTTTTTAATGATACTTTGAAAATATAGGTGAGTATCTATCATATATTTATTTATGTAGAACTCAATTTTACTTCAGTTCTGATTCATAGAAAAATCCATGATAATGGATCTTACTATGGTTCTGGATTTGATATTTTAATTACCATTGCAAAGAAATTTGCGGAAAAGAACATTTTGCTTTTTATTGCTTGTATTTAGATTATTATCAAAGTATTAACAGCATAATTTTTAAAATTCGTCAAGGATTAAAATATTTTTTTCTTAGTAAAAAAGTTGTTTATGAATAATACCTATCTTCATGTTATAAATCATAATTTCGCCAAAATTTTATTTTAATATATTCACTAGTTGATGTACAATAATGAGAGATTTAGTTATTTTTTTATTTCTTCGTGTTACATATTGCCATTCTCGATGAAAGACCCTCAATGTAAGTTATTCAAGAATTGGCGGATACAATGAAAAGACCAGGAATAATAGCAACATTAAAAATTTAATGAGATAATAATCTCGGAGAAATCATCAATAGAATAAATACTCTTATAAATTTGTGTTTAGATCGAGGGTGAATTTTTTTATAAAAAAAAAAAAAAAAGCTTCATGGTAAGATTTTCGGGATACATTTCGATAATCAATCCCTGCGATAAAATTAGCAAATTTTTTTGTGCCGAAAATTTATTATAAACTTTAAACTCTCACAATCTCTCTATTAAATAGTCGTGGGTCCCATTTTCTTTCGTTTATTTATTATTCAAATTCTAGTCCATCATTCGACTATGATATACGATTTTCACCAAGCCTAATTATTAAGACTCGGTTAGATGGGCTGCAAGGTAGTAGTCAAACCCAATTCATCATTCGACACTTTCGGTAACCACTTTCATTTTCGCACGGTAGATTATATTACTTGAACATTTTTACAAGTTAAACTTCACGAATTTTGCTTGGTAGAAGATTACATCAACAAATCAATATATCCAAGATGGGCTCCTCCTGAGAAATTCTGAGAAAAACGTATATATACTAAAGCCAAGTGTAATTTATTAGTATTGTCATTTTATACTTATCAAGAAGACACGATTTTTTTCTTTATCGAACGAGATAATTAATCATTCCATGATATGGACCCGATGTGATTAAATCAACAGCACACCGATCGAATATCAAGAAAAAGGATAGAATTTAATTCAAAACAACGTTCATACATGAAATGTTTTAATGTATTAAACTTGAAATAAATTGAATCTTGAAGCACATAGTACAAACGCAAGGGATTTATATAAATTTAATCCATTCCGTAAAAATTTGAAGCAATTAAATTAAATAATCGAAGACAGCAAAATTATGTGTAGGATATATTATTACCTTAATGGATATTATAATGGTCAAGGTCCGGTATACGCAAGGTTAAAGTATTTATATCAAGCAGCAAAAGATGGCCACATACGCTCAATATATTGGTACGCCTAATTAAATTATCTCAAAAGACTCCGTTTGAGAGAAATAACGAAGTCCCGATAGTATTGCTGAAAAAGCTACGATTAGAAAGCTCATACAATGAGTTTATTTTATTCCCTAGATGATTTAGATTTTTTACTCAATATTTATCTAAAGTAGAGGCCTGCAACGGGCCGAGTCCGGGTTCAAAATACCAGCACGGACAAAACTTATAATTTATGCGGATTTTTTAATACCCGAATTTTTGGCCTCTAAACTAGATGTTTCGTAACGTAATAAAATTATTTAGATAGAAAATTTATTCTTAGAGGAAAACATTTTGGCTAATGTCCTGACCAACTGATAGTACTAACTAAATTTGTTCACAAAGTAAAATTTATTCGAACACTATCTATCTATCTATCTCTGTAAACAATGAATAAAAGGCGTGCAGAAATGATATAATTTCGACACCAAATTGTACCAATACTCCCAAAAATCATTAGATAATCAAAGATAATATTAGTGATAACGATTAAACTTTCTCAATCTATCCGTAATAAGAAAAAACCAAGTTGAAACGGAACCATTTGATTTCTTATCTAAAAAATGTGTGAAGGTTTATAAAAAGCCATTCGAAATTCACAAATGTTCTTAAAAATTACTATAAAATTTTTCTTGTCTTGTATGCGTATCCAATATCCTCTTCGCCTTATGGCTCATTTTTTTTAATCACAAAATTAATTGTAAGTTCCTTTTATTTGTCATAAAATAATAACAAAAATTTTCAAGTTATAAGTCTGCATTCTTTCTTACCGTATTATTGTGAGTTAGTTTATTGTGTGAATTTTTATTCAATATTTTTTTCGACCTCTTGTAACGTTTTTATTCTCATTTAAAATTACAAGGTATAAGTTTTCTATCTTCCAATCTCTCTTTCTTTCGTTTTCCCACCTTTCACCTTCGTTCATACCCTCCTCCCTCAAGAAATGAAGAAGGTGGGAATGGACGAAGGTGAGAGAGGGGGCACCGATCAAAGTTTGATGAGGGAGTGAGAGACAACAAATTGTGGGAGGAGGGATGAACGAATTTGTGTACTAAATTGAGGGTGGAGCGGTATGAACGAATATTTGAGGGTGGGATGGTATGAACGAATGGTTTCAACTTTATTTGTTTTTAGTTTTTTTGTATTGGTATTGGTATTGTTATTATTGTTATCAAGTTTTATTATTTCACCGTTAATAATTTCCAAATAATAATCCTTCATACATAGCTTTTATTAAAATTGATTTTTATATGAAGTTTCCTAATAAATTGATGCATTTTCACACTTTCATGTGTCTTTTTCATGTGGTACCTTCCTTTTGTTTCAAAAAAAAGATTCACAATTTGGAGATAATAAAGAACTTCTATGAGTACTATTCTTATATATATAAAAAAAAAAAATATTTGAGAGTATTTTCAAAAAAGTGAGAGATATTCCGTTATTCTTGCATCAATTTAAAATTTTAAAATTTTCGGATTTTTTTCAAAAAGTGCCCGCGATATTAAAAAAGCAGGCCCTCACGGCTGCGCCATGAAAATCAAATAACTATTATTTCAAAAATTCTAATATTTTGATTAAACAATAGTAAAAAAATCTGTATTATAAAATAAATTATAGATTCGCACTAAAAAAAATGTAAAAAGATGTCATCTCAAGAAAAAAAAAAAAAAGTAATTCCGTCTTAATGGTAGAATCTTAAAATAAATTATTAAGAAGACGGAGATTAATATAATATACGAGGAATGATTGTTAACCATAAATTGATTTATTGTCTGACAAACAATTGATAACTTTTGATTCTAGAATATATTTTTTTGTTATGAATTGAATTATTGGTTACCATCCAACCAAATTCAAAACTTGTCAAGGATGATTTTAACTTGAAAATCTCAACCGATAAAATTTTATAATTAAAAAATTTTTTTTATTTAGAAAATCGATTTTTTGTATATTACATAAAATCCAACTGAAAAACACACTCTACAACCTAAGAGAATCTTTTCCTTCCATAAAATTACATATATTTTTGTTGTTATAGTTGTATATTAGATCTTAAAAAAACTTATTTTTAAAGCGAAATTTCGCGTAAATGTAATAAAAAAAAGTAATCGTCGAAAAGGAAAATCTATGGCTAGTTACGTATCCTTTTGGTCACTACGTTTCAAATTTATAATGGATCTTCCTATGTAAATAATAAGTGCCGAGAATTTTAGTGTGTGTTGGTGATCATGTATACATCTCGAAAAATCTTATCAAGTTCTTATCCTATTATGTCTTCGGTGTAATCTGTTAAAATTCCGTATTTTTTAGTATGTTAAGTTCTTATCCTATTTTGAACAAATTATGTCTTCGGTGTAATCTGTTAAAATTCCGTATTTTT